CACGCCAGCATGGATCTGCTTCCATGCTCGTGTGTCCAAATTACAACAGGGATGAAGGAAAACTGGCAGGTGCACAAGATATTTTTCATGAAACTAATACTTGAAAAGAGAATAAACTAAATTTTGAAACATCCACAGGGACACACAGACACATAGATGAAATAATATAATTTGGAGTAACATTAATCCAACCCAGTTTATAGGAGCCAAAAAACATAAGACTGACAAAGGTGTCTGTTGAGGTTTGCGATACTTCACAAATATCCTACCATGACAAGATCCAAACAATTTTGGCATGATTCAGTGACATACATCCAAGTGCCCATAAGAATGCTTAATCTAGCATTACTCATTCTGTAAAAGTAAAACTCACAGCAACCGCAGGAAAAACTACACCCCGACTTTGCTTTATTCTTCTCTTATGTCAGAAATTCTTATTTTTCAGTTATTTATAAAATAATCATTTACACAGATTTACATTTGGAGGAACATTGAAGTGATAGGCTTGGCACATGAGATTTGACATCTCAGGACTGAATGAAGGCAATTAATTGACAAAAGCCATCCAGCTAAGGACAAGTTGCATATCTTCCATTGAAAAAAAAAATAATAAAATACAAACACACACATAAATTACAGTTTTACAAGCTCATGTGTCAGAAGTATTGTACCTTAAATTTAATTAGACTAAGTAGAAAAAGAAAAAATAATGTGAGGTAAATTTGAATAATGGGCAACGTTAAGGAAAAAATTGCATTATAATTGAACAATAAATCACAATGTTTGAAACTTTTGAATACTAATAAAGAAAGAACCTATACCTCTAACCTCCATAAACACAGACATCTGGTGATTTATCTCTCACTGAAACTTCTTACATTTTGCTAAAACACAGACATCAGCTCACAGAACACTTGGTATTTTAATTCTAACATTAGGAGCCAGAGATCTCTATGTAGAATATACAGTATCCCATCTCCACATGTGAAATATAACAACACCCCATAGGGCATACACATTTCCAGGAACAGATGCAAATACAAAGTTAAGAGCTTAAAAATACAATAATTGTCCACAGTTCAGCTTCTCTACAAAAATGTGAGCAAGACAATTGAATTAGTTAACACAACAACCAAACATTTTTCTTGTGCAGGTCAGAAACTGAAAGTAACATTTGACTGGTTACTAATGGGCTGTTATTTTTTTTTTTGTATGGCTCATGTCTTTGTTACATGGCTAAGGGTCTGTGTTGGCAGGCTTTAGGCTTGTGTCAATGGCATTACATTTACATTAGGTTGAGACGTTTCTAAGATCTTTCAGAATTCATCGGCAGGTGCATTTGACCTGCAGGTGGTCTCTTTTTTTTCTTGCATTTGACCTGCTTGTAGCGTATTTTTCTGTCCTATAGACTTGTATGGCTATGCAAAGCTTCAAAAGCCTTTCAACACAGGCCCAAAGAATATATTTGCGGGGCATGCTTTACTTACAAAAGGGATGGTTTGCCTTTTTCAAATAGTTATGCCTCTCTTTATGAAAGTCTTGAATCATACCATATTACAGACTCAATTCACTGAGCTAACACACCAGAATATGTATCCTTATTGCCACAAAAGTGACAATTTTTTAGTTCAATAAAATGTTTAAATTACAGTCAAATGGCTGAAAATATCATTCCTTCAGGCCCTTTCAAATGGGTAGCAAATGGGTGCTAAAAAAGGGGGAGTTGATCTGCATTTTTACAGCTCCCTGACTGCCCACATAAAACCTAACATGGCAGCCAAATGGGTTCATACACCTGCCATGGCTATGCTTCACAGCTACTGCAAATTTAACTCTGCATGTCCATTTTGACAGGTGACACCGCCTGTCAAACTCACATGTTGACGTCAGAAGGACCACACCACAACAGTGAACATTTGGCTCACAATTATGATCCTGAAATGCCATGCAAAATTACCGTTTGACTGTAAATAAATTGACAAGCATCCAGGAGGCGGCAGTATCATCTCCTAAATGCCTGTATATGTCTTCACAGCTCCCCTCTGAAATCTATCTCTTATCAGGGGGGAGCGATTAATGCTGTTACCCATGTGAAAGAGGTCTTAGGCTGGTGTTAAAGCTTTGTGAATTGAGCCTCTTGGGTGGTGTTTTTTTTTTTACAAAATCAACTTTTGAGATATGAGGGCAAGATTTGTCTCTGGCGCCACATGACCACTGCAAGATACAAACTAAACACACACAGTTGAAAGTCTGCAGGAAAGCAGAAATAGAAAATTGGATCATGCATAGCAACACAAAGGACAACGTGAAAATACAAAGATACAAAGAAGCAAACAAGAAACAGGCAACATACAAGCAGGAATAATAACAAACTATAAGCACAACATACAAAAGGAAGAGTACAAACCATAAAAAGTGTGTGGATAACTATAAATTATATGGTATTTGCACCAAATTGATTGCATCATCTACACACCAGATATGTTTAACAGGGACACACAAGACACATTTAACATGGACATTACACACAGTAGAACACATTAAACAGAACACATACTACTTCCTACACACAAGACAGCTATTTTAAGCATAAGCAGACAGTATGTTGATGTCTTTACTACCAACAGGATATATGAAACACAACACAGAAACATAGAGGACATGCATAGCACCACTGAGTCTTATTTAATAATACAGAGCAAAGGGAAGTAATGCGCTGTAAGCTAGAGCAAACAACCAGATGTTAGAAATTCAATGGCTGAACTGTACCATACTGATAAATACAGATATCTGACTGGTTGCTGAGCTGCTGCCCACTATAGCTTTATGTTATCAAATATAGACCTGTATTGCTCAAGAATAGAAAATGTAGTAACAAAAACATGTAGTACATACTTTACAAACGGAACATATATTTCAACCTAGAGATGCCAAAAGCACACATTAGGCAGGAAAAGGTAACACATAACTAACATTGACATAAATGCATTACATGGTAACAGGATAAGCACAAACCTCTGGCTAAAAAGTAAAAGGTCCAAACATAACATAAAACATGAAGTTGGTACCATATAGTTAGGACATGTAACAGAAAAGCATACAAGTAAAACATGTATGTTATTACAGAGATATGGGTAAAGCAACATTGATAAAGCATGTCCTTGGAAAGCCAAAAAACCTTATAGTTTGAGAATAACCTCTTCCTCTCTTGAAACAGATTGAGCCAGTTCAGATATACTAAAGTGCAAAGGGAGGTGATGTGTGGTGAAGTAAAGTTTTCTCTCCGAGTCTCCGACCATACAATCATGTGCATGAGATTTAAAAAAAAAATTGAGCATCTCCAAGTGGATGCTTGAAGTGAACCCAGATGTACTTCGCTACAGTGTACTTCAACTCACTTTACAAATTAGGTCTATTAATTTCAATGTGCAGCAAATGAGACATTTGACAAGGTACTGAGCTATTAAAATGTTCCTGTGTAGATAAGGATAAAATGTGCACATGCAAACAAGAAGCAAAGACAACGCCAATCAACGCAATATGATCACCTGTCTGTCATAGGTTTACACATCCAATAAAGTATAGAAACACATAGAGGAGGGACAAGACAACATAACATCAAGAACAGATAGAACTTGCACGTAACAGTAGCAGGATAGAAGGCACTAGCAACATACAGTATGTCAATCTCCTCTAAGTAAATATTTTTTGATTCACAGTTCGGCATATATACAAAGCATCCTCTGCTAAAGACATAGTGCATAAAAAAGAAAAATAATTCAATTCATATCCACCAATCAGACAAGTATTGGTTTAATTTTCAAACCTGCACTAGGAAAATATTAATTTCTGATTACTTTCAGGATTATAACTCTTTGTAAAGCTAGTAAAATGAGCTTGTTTCCAAAAGCTCTCTGCCATGTTGTTCTCAATTCTAATGATACTGATGACACATTATGCCGATCAACAAATATCTTATTCGATAATGTAGTACAAATAGCAGTGATGCATAATATTTAGCAAATAATCAGAAATTGTCTTTCAGCATTTTTTTTTTAAGTCAAACAAATGAAAGTTGTATTCTATCTCATTGCTGTGGGTTCTGCTCTTTATATTGATTAAATAAAACATATTAGTTTGTTCAGGACCTGTGAAAAATGCAAACAAGTATATCTAATGTAATTTTCTTTAAAGATTGTGGGTCCCTTAAATTAACCTTAAGCTTTGGTTGATGGCTTTTACAATAATTAAAGGCATAATATGTCCTGTGTGTGTTAGTACTGTCAATTACTGTTACAGAGGTCATCACCAACAACAAATATTTCCTGGTAATTATGGTTTTCCAGATGCCAAGATCTGCTACAAGGTATCTGGAATCATAATTCATCATAGGACAGAACATTATTACTCTATGGGAGTCCAAACCTGCATTTGCAAAAAGGAAACTTGACCCAACTGTCAAAATTTTAAACCTGTAGCTTAGTTGCTCAGAATCAAATAACACAGAAATTATATTTTTGCTGACAACTACATTTCAGGTTTTCCGTGACAGTTCCTGGACTTTATGTAGATATTTAGAAAATCTATAATATGACTGTGTAGAGTAATGCTTCACATGGCAGACATGGGTTTTGACTCTTGGACAATATATTCTCTTCCAGGGCAACAAAAAAAACAAGGTGGTTTTGCCAAAATTAAGACTACAAGAAAGGATGGTGTTGAGGTCAGTGTTTAGGAGGAAAGTGGTTGATTGCACATTGCCGACAATTTATGATGGCTTTTCCGAGTGTAAGAACATTTCTATTGTGTTCCTCCATTGGCCATGCCAAAGTTGATGGTTATATAATTCCCAATAATTTCCTTTCTTTTAGGAGGACCCTTGGAATGGTGTACTTGGGGTGTGGGTCCTTAAGGCAAGGAATAGGTTCCTTGTGATGTTATTTTGCATTATTCAGTCTGTCTTTTTGTCCTAGAAGTATTTGATAGGGTCAGTGGGATTTTTAACCTTTGACGACACCGGGTTCAGTCAGAGAAGCTGGAGCATATGCAGACGCTGCCAAACATGCTGCTGCCTCACAAAATCCTGAGAGACCTGTTGGACCAGGTAGCCCAGGTCTGCCAGCCTCTCCTGCTGATCCCTCTGGACCTCTTTCTCCATCTTTTCCATCAATGGCGTGACCAGGAATACCAGGGAGACCTGATGAGAATACACATATTAGTGGACATTACAGATAATGATTTGGGTTTCTTAATTGCTCCTAGTTTTACAATTTGTATATTTGTAAATTATTATTACAGCTGACTCATGGGGGTTTATTTACTAAAGCTGGAGAGTCCAAAATCAGACTCCCTTCTGCATAGAAACCAATCAGCTTCTAACCTCAGCTTGTTCAATGAAGCTTTGGCAATGAAACCTGGAAGCTGATTGGTTTCTATGCAGAAGGGAGTCTGATTTTGGACTCTCCAGCTTTAGTAAATAAACCCCATGGGGTCAGGCTGAGAAATGTATGGTTTAATGAATGGGTAACAATGAAAATTACAACAGGATGTTTGATTCCTCTAAAAGTTGAGTCATGCAAACTGTGCTATAATCTGGAAAAAATGCAAACACTACAAGCCATCCAAAGGTATTTTTTTATAATTTTATAGGAACAGCTGAAACTTTCAATAACAAAAAAGAATATCTTAACTATAATCTATTGTTTTTATTAAACTCACCTGGAATACCAGGGGGTCCAGGCATACCCTGGTGACCACGTCCAGTCTCACCACGGTCTCCCTTTTCTCCTCGTTTTCCTGTTATTGAAAAATGATTAGGCTATGTGTAATAATTACATTTAGTAAGTGACTAAATTATAGTAGTTATAAAAGCGTACACTAGCGATGCTCAGTATGCTTTTTGTTTAATGCCATTCCTCCAAACCATACAGCTGAATCCCAGCCAGATATGCTGTAAATGACACAGATGTACGCACCACGGCATTTAGTAAAATATTGTTATATTTAATTTTTTAAATGCTAGTAGTGGAAGTACCTCAATTTGATTTGGAATCAGCCTTTTGCAGTCCCTGTACAGTAGAGCTTTACTAGGATGAAAAAATAAATGCAAATCCTTTTGCAGATAAAAGAGCTCCCGTATAATTATTTCATCTGTGTATTTAGCTCTTGTCTGAAGTTCAGGTTTAAGTATATAGAAAGATACTACTTATGTGTACATGTAAAAAAAAATGTCTTAAATGTACCATGTTCTAAAGGTGGTATCCACATGGGATGCAGAGGGTGCAACCCCTGCCAGCCTAGGAGGTTTAGGAACCCAACCATAACTTATTTTTGTCTTTTCAATCTGCATAGTAAAGCATCTTTTTTCATTTCAAAGCCCAGGCCAGTACTAAAAAATATCTTTTGGGCTGGTAGCCCTGAGCAGAGATACTTCACAATTCAGACATTGATCAGAGAGGGACCTACAGTTGGTAACATATGCTGGGCGCTTAATGTCCATGTTCTGACTTGCCAACACACAGTGCTGACAGAAGATAGTTTTCCAGTACCAACTTCCTTCGTGGCTCTGAGATATCATAAGTTTGAATGCAGAGACCTTCTAAGGAAGCTGCTGCTGGAATGTGAAAATGTGTGTCAAAATAAACCACATCCTTTTGGAAAACCCACCTTTAACCATACCCACTAATCAATAAGGCGCAATTGTACACTCTTCTTATCCCAAAAAACTCTGTCTCTCCCATGAAAGGGCCCCAGGCCAAAGGTTCCCAGTCCACTACTGCATCTTGCCCTGGAAATATTTGCCCCCAAGTCTGGTGTGCAGGGCAGGTACTGGACATGTAAAAGCTATATTTATTACTCAAACTTAAATGTGATATTCCAGCGCTTTACCAACTCTCACATATGCATAAATAGGGTGAATGTGGTTGTAGAGTTTCAGTTGAATATCAGAGGAGTAATTACCAAAAATATTTCTGGCAACGCTTTTATAAATATACAACTTTGATTTTTTTTTTCCATGAAATTTCCCCATTCCACTGTATGCCTTTAAAGGGACACTCTGGTGCTAATATTTTGGTTATGCGATGTTAATACCCTCTGAACTGTGAATGAATCCTTATAGAGGTTGGTGAAAATGCTTGTACAAATAACATGGCATTAAATTATACAATTCCTGGTTTGATTTGAAATCAAAAAGATTATTGCAACATTGATGCTGCTCATTGGATGATGGCATCCAGCTAACTTTTTCTGTCTTTAAATAGAATTCTGAGTAAAGCTAGAATCGATTCAATAACACTTATGGAATTGGTAGCTCATATCATAGATTATACACTTCCATTATTTAATAATAAATAGTACTGGATTCATATAGAAATATTAACATGGCTTAGGCTCTTTTTGCCTTACTTTAATGTATCTTATAGATTTACTACCTATATTATATCTTATTACTAATCCCGTGGTTGCTCAATGATTTGAAACACTGTGCTACTAGAAACATTTGGCTTTGTTTGCCTTATATTGGATCTCTACTATCTAATAATGCATATTTTGTTGGCCATCTCTAAACATTATCCCTGTGTTCTTACGGTTATTTTTATAGTGCAGATTTATACAGCACTTTTACAGTACATCAGTCCCTGTTACTATCTAAGATTCCTATCTCAAATGCCTACATACCTGCACACCCGATATATAGATTAATTGGCAGCCCTCAATATACAAACTTCATGAGGTTAGAATTCTAACCAGGATTTGAACTGGTAACTCCAGTGCCCAGGCCCCAGAATTAGACTTAGTAAGATCTGAGAAAACAAAAAGTTTGATTTCTCCATAACAGATTTAAACCCTAGGTGACACAGTACTCAACCCTACCAGCCAGATCCTCAATATACAGTATATAGTTTGCCTTCTGCACAGGGGCGGACTGACCATTTGGAAACTCAGGCACTGCCCGAGGGCCCGGTGGTCAGTAGGGGGCCCCATGAGATGCCCCTGGTACCTTTTTCATAGGCTTTTTTGAGTTTGGGCAAGGACACAGGGGTCCTATGATCCCCTATTGCCCTGGGGCCCCATGAGTTGTCAGTCCGCCCCTGCTTCTGCATGCTTGTTTCCAATCAGGGATTCAGAAAATATGGAGATCAAAGATAGCCAGGCAACCAGCATTTGAGAAAGTCAGCATTATCAGCTCCCACATTTTTGGCAGGACCTGATAATATCTTCTGACCTCACAGACTGGACTGTGGGTGATGAGCTGAAGTTGTTTACCTCAAACAAAATTATTAAAAAAAAGACCTAAACATGTAGCTGTATACAAGGCCAACAGATAGGTCTTTGTAAATTTTATATACCCGATTTCACCAACCTTTGTGTCCTGTGTTTCCTATTTGACCCATCACTCCAATAATTCCAGGGATACCACGTGGTCCATGGTGTCCATGTGGTCCTTGCTCTCCTGGAGGTCCTGGTGGTCCTGGAGGTCCAGGTGGTCCCGTGATGCCAGCTCCTCCTAGGGCAGCTCTCTTAGCACTGACAGCCACCTCTGCTAGTTGCTCTTTTGTGCAAATTAACAGCAAAATGTAGAAGATATACATGAAAAAGAAATATGCTGATAAACCAAACTAAATCAATAATGCACTCTACTTATAATACGAAGTGAGTAAAAATTGTGAAGATGTGAAATACGCCAGGATACATAAATGTGAAGCTATTTACTTCTGATACTTTCTTATAAAGCAAAGTACTCATCATTCTCCTACTTTACAGTAGTGATTTGGACACACAGTTGACACTTGCTGCTACAGTATATGTAATGCTAAATTCTGACATTGTGAAATGAAATAGCTTTAGTAGAGACTACTGTTTTTGTGATTACTTTTGTTGCAGTCCAGCAAAATATACATTACTTCATTCCAAAAGAGATCAGCAGCACTTGCTTTAATATTTCTTAAAGCTATACAGAACCTCCTGTATATGACAGAACAACAGATTTCTGGACCATATGCTAGGAGCAATATGTATACTTATGTATGCATCTAAATGTTGCTGAAACAGCTGTTATGTACAAACAAAAACCTGGGCGTATTTACTAAAAGCAAACAGACTAAGCATTTTGCAAACACATTTGTTCATGAGCATAGAAAATGAGGGGAAGCTCTGCTGACTTCCATCATCCAATAACGCGCAAGCCGAAATGCATTTTTTTTCCTTCCATGTGATTGGGTATATTTTGTAAAGTGAACCATCACCTCATTTACTAAGCTCTGGTGCAACTGCACTTGCAAAGTGTACAGTCTATTTGCCTTTAGGAAATCAACCCCTTAGTGTCTGTAACGTTCAGTTTTTTTTTTAAGTTACAGAACCATCTCTTTCTAGTGCATTTTAGTATGCAGATTAATAACCTGTCAACAGTCACCATTGTCAAGTACTATAATTGTTTCCAAGTCTAATATTCAGGTGACCAGTTATATTTCCAGATTATTTTATAGTCTTCACTCTAACATGCTGCAATGCTGTGTTCAGTGACTCCTAAAAGTCATATCCAACACCAAATCTAACATCCAGAGCTATATAAACTGACAGGGGTAAAAACTGTGATACTGCTTCTGAAAATAAATGATTAAAGGATAAGTTCACCTTTGGGAACATGTTCCATGTTCCATGTGTTTTTAGGGTGGAACATTTAACATGTTCCCAGTGCCGCAGCCACTGCCCTCCACCCTCCCCTCCCTGTAACAGCAGTACGAGGAGAAGTTCCGCTTACTAGCTGTCACTTTTTAAAAACAGCACGGCAGTGCAGGGCTCCACCAACACAGCTGCATCATCATTTATTCACAGTGTACTGTGTATGAATGAACTACAAGTCCTGCCAGCCTTTGCTGTGGAGCGCTGTGGCAGTTCATTGAATTTTCTCATACATCCCATACACGCAAGCAGATATACTGACAGATCTGCAGGAGATCTGCATGGCACCAGTGATCTGATCTACAAGTGCAATGCTTTACAGGCTCCTACAACCAATAAATAATTCATGCACATTTTGTTACCTACAAAAAATGTGCATTTATTATTTTTTGTCAGAAGGTAAACTTATCCTTTGACATAGTTAAATAGTTAGTCTGGCTGAAGAAAAAGACAAAAGTCCATCTATTTCAACCATAAAAAAAAAAGTTATAATCTTATACCCACAGTTGATCCAGAGGAAGGTAAAAAAAAAAACCAACAAAGCATGATCCAATTTGCTCCTGCTGGGAAAAAAAATTCCTTCCTGATTCCCAGAGAGGCAATTGGATATTCCCTGGATCAACTTTACCTATAAATGTTAGTATCCAGGTATTTTCTGTGTATCTAAGAAATAATCCAGGCCTTTTTTGAAGCAATCCACTGAGCTGGCCAGAACCAACTATTGAGGGAGTCTAGTCCACATTTTCACAGCTCTCACTGTGAAGAAACCTTTCCGTGTTTGGAGATTACATTTCTTTTCCTCCAGACGTAAAGAGTGCCCCCTTGTCCTCTGTGATGACCTCAGGGTGAATAGCTCTACACCAAGTTCACTATATGAACCACTGATGTATTTATACATGTTGATCATATCCCCCCTTAATCTCCTCTTCTCAAGAGAGAAAAAAATTCAGTTCCTCTAATCTTTCCTCATAGCTGAGCTCCTCCATGCCTCTTAACAGTTTGGTTGCCCTTCTCTGTAATTTCTCCAGTTCCCCAATGTTCTTTTTGTAAATTGGTGCCCAAAACTGAACTGCATATTCCAGATGAGGTCTTACTAATGATTTGTACAGGGGTAATTTGATTTCTCTCTCTCTGGAGTCTATACCTCTTTTAATACAAGAGAGGATTTTGCTCGCTTTAGAAACCGCAGCTTGGCATTGTATGCCATTATTAAGCTTGTGATCTATCAGAACTCCCAGATCCTTCTCCACAATTGATTCCCCCAGTTGTACCCCCCCTAGTATGTATGATGCATGCATGCATTTAACTGATTAGAGTTTCTGGCAGTAATGAAAATACAATAAATGAAGGAGAGACCAAACGCCAAAACTGAAAAAATGGTTACAGTTATATCTGATACAATACTTCAGGGTGTGTTGTAGTACAAATGTAGCCTAACAGAATTTATTTCCATACCTTTGTTATTTCATTCTAAGAGCCTGCAACAAAAATTGTTCACTTTTCTATGCCACTAATGAAATGGACATTGTACACAATGACCCACTTTTCCTTTTTAAGGTGCCAAAGTAGACAAGCAATTTATTCCAATCCAAAAGCTCCTCACTTTTCTACAATAAGAAAACTGCTCAGGAAAATAGAGTAATCGTTCCTGTAAAATTCATAGATTGTAATTTAAGATTCCTCACCTTGCAGCATTTTCAGAACCACATCAATAATGTGCTGATCTCCAGCATCTCTGCCCTGCAAAAAAAAAATTGTCAGGTAGGATGATGTGCGTGAGTCAAAAATGCTTTGAGGTTAATTCTGAATCTACCTTTTGGAACACATAATGCATTGTTCTAGTAAAATTGTACTCCTTTATTATTCAAACTGATTCTGTAAACTAGTCAATAAACACAAATGTTACATACTGAAACTCCTGGTCGACCTGGCATTCCAGGGACTCCCCTCTCTCCATTAAGACCTCTTGGTCCAGGCAGTCCTGCTAGTCCTTGTACTCCAGGCTGGCCAGGATCTCCGGTTGGACCTGTGTAGCCCAGTTCTCCATGTACTCCTTGCTATGGAAAGATGCAAGAAAAACTGAAATTACATTTTGTTAATATACAGAAAAAAGGTGTATGTGTATCTTGATAATCTCACCTGGCCTTTAGGACCTGGCTCACCAGAATCCCCCTATAGAATAGAAAATATAATACTTTTTTAGCATTTCCTTATGCATTTTTCTGTATAACTTGTTTTAAAGTCCAAGCTAAAGCAAACATTTAAAGTTTTTATCAAATGAGGAACAGTTAAACCTTATTGTTACTACTATCTGTTTTTCATTGCTATTTGTGTCCCCTCTCATTTTCACATTGTCACAGAGAAATTTCTCTAATGAACACAGACAGGGCCGTGGATAAGGATTCAGGCCAGTGGGTGGCCCAGTCAGTAGGGGGGGGGGGGGGGTTCAATCAGATGTGCCCTGATGGCTTTCAGCTGCTACAAAGAGTTCCAGTAATTGCCGCCCTCCCCCCTTCGCTGCACTCATCACCCTCCCTATGCACCATACATTTTCACCTGCTGCCCAAGCCCCCCGAGTGCCCCCACAGTGCTGTTGGCTTTCCGCCTCTCCTTTTAACCAGCATCTGCAAGCACACAATAGGATACTTCAGGATAAAGAGTGGGGGAAGGGTCCGGTAAATATGTCACATTTATCAGACCAGTCCTTTCTTCAATGAACACAATGAGTGATTGGTAACAGTCACTCACTGTATTCATTTATATCTAAAGCATAGTAAACTGAGTTTTTGGAGGGTTTTTGGTGGAAGGGCCCTGTCAGGTTTGCTGTATGGGGCCCCGTAGTTTCTAAAAGTAGCCCTGAATACAGAGACAGCAAAAACCTAGACTAGAGATTATTTTGCCCATCCATACAATTTAGCAGATATAGTAACTAGTACAGAAGTGGTTCCAAAGTCAAATATGAATCACATCAATGTCCATGGTTTTAGAATGGAATAGCTAAAAAACTCACATAGGTGTGATGGTCAGATTGTCTGAATAGTTTTAGTGTGAATGAATATTGGTTCTTTATTTGAGATCCCAGTAGTTTCTTTTAATTATTTAAATAAAGACTGTATGTTTTATTAATATTATTGCTAAATCTATAACAAATACAGAAGAAATTGGGCAATTTCAAAAGAAATTTAAATAAATTCAGACTGTTAAAGTGGAAGTAAATAATTTTTTTCATGTTTTAAAAAGGCTTACCTGTAGGTGCTGTAAATATCTCCTAAACGTGCACTGTTTAGGAGATATTTACTTAGCAACACCAGTGATGTCACTGGCACATGCACACTGCACTCTCAATGGATGGAGTGCCATCCATTGAGAGAGCCATGCCGCAGCCTAAGACACCCATGCCAATGAGGATTTCTACCCTTCCTTACCATAGCCATATCTAAACAAAAACATTTTTATGATTTGAGCTTTAATACATAATTATAAAAATGTGCCAAATACATGTATGTGATGACATAGTTACTGTGTAATTGTGAGGAAGTCATTTTATATTTTTTATGTTTCTTAGAAATTACTTGAAGCATTTTCTTAAAGCGAACCTGTAGTCAGGTTATAAACATATTCACATATTCTTAACAAGGAGAAAGTGAGTTTTGAAACAAGACCTCATTGACCTCTGTAGCTACAGTCACATTGGAGCAATTCATACTCAAATTTCACAGCATAAGCACTGATATTATTCAAGTCATTCTCTCAGCAGCTCCTCTAACTTTGTTTTTCACTTCCAGAGGTAGCCAGCTTAAATGACTCCAGAGTTGCTGTAAGGATGAATAGGTTAGTGAGTCTGCCTGGCTTTGGTTTACAAACATTTGTGACGTTTGCTCGAAGTTCCCAAAGTTTGCAGCAAACCCCACTGAAGTTTATGGGGTAAAGGGAGTAATTTTTGTTATTCAATTCTCCCAATTTGTAAGGCTAATAAGCAAGCTATTGTCAAAAAATGCATGCGGAGTTGGGCACTGCTATTTGAGGATATGTACCAATGACAAAATAAAAAAAAAATTAAGTACAAAATAAAAATAAAAAAGGGTATCTCTCCCTAGAAGTTCAAATACAGACTGGCAATATGGCTGCTGGGAGTCCACCTTTTTAGATTTTTTTATAGAAAGGAGGTTGTGTTATCCATTCATTCAAATGAAGCACCCTCTTAGTTTAGCTAGGGGGAACTAGATCCTAATGGTTCGACAGGAGATGGTTAGCAGATCAGGTGTAATAGCCAGAGGGGTCAAATCGTGGTCAGGGCTGAGAGACTCTGCAGGCCAGCCCCTCTGGAATTTCCCTCTCCTCTGAGGCTTTCAGAGGAGGGCCTTGGAAGCAGTGGGTGGATTGGAGGAGTAGCTGGCTGCACTCTTGACAGACCTCAGCCAATCCCCAACAGAAGGCTTGGCAAGGGGCTGGTACTCAATTAGAAGTGTAAGAGCCTGCACGGCAGGGGAGAGTGGAGAGTCTGGTGAAGTGAGAGAGGAAGATGTGAGGCTGTGAGGAAGGAGGCTGCCAGGAGGCCTAGTGGGATGGGGCCTGCTGGTGAACCTGAAGCTGGAGAGTCAGAAAACTCAGAGCTCACTGGCCCTCTGAGCGAGGACCACCTGTATGGCAGGGATGGAGCAGCCCAGCTGATAGGCCTGGTAGCAGCCAACCCAAAAGCGGTACAGGAGAGTATCTGAGTGAGTACACCTGCACCTCCTAGGCAGATAGGGGAAGGAGCACTCTGGTGGAAAAGCAAATTAGCCCCCTGCTAGTGACTGTTCACCTATTCAAAAGGGACAGGAGCGAGATCCTCTGCATGGCTTGGGCTTTTTTGACCATATGGTTTTCCTGCAGTTCCTGCAAATGTGTTGCGGGCTTAGATGCATAGGGGTGCCATTCATAATGAATGGCAGCCCCACGCCTCTCATAAGAGCAGTGCAATTTTCCTGTGGGTGGTTGCGGATGCAGGAACAGGTGCAGACTGCGGACAAGTGTAAACAGAGCTTCACAGGTTGTTTCCTATTTTGGTGGGGAACCTGCAAACTTTTGGGGGCAAACATTGCAATTCCCTGACCTCATGAATCCATAAAAGCAGCAAAACCTAATCCTAAGGTTGAATTGCTTCACAGTATCTGCAGCTACAGAGGTCATTGAGGGCTTGTTTGAAATCTCATTCACTGCTTGGTAATGATATGTAAATACTTGAATATCTAAAGCTTGACTATAGGTTCACTTTAAAGTAGAACACCATAGAAACATTGTTGGTTGGTCACAGGTGACAACAATTACTGACAAAGGTTTTAACCCCTCCCCACTCTAAAAACAAAGGATGACTAAAGGTTTATTCACCTTTGTAGTAAAGTGGTCCCAAACCATGTTTTTAGCTGTATTTCCCTTTTTCTGCTTCCTAACTGAGAACAAAAATTAGTCCTGCAGCTACTGTCTGAGAAACTAGAGTGTCTCTCCCCTCAAACAGACTCAGCCCTGATGAAACAAAGCATCAGTCCTCTGCTGCTAGGAAGGAGCTTGAACCTGCTGAAAGATATGTTTTGCAGCTGTGCTAGTATTCGTTTCTGAGCAGCAAGGGTAAGGGATTAGTAATGTTTCATAAATATGTTAGAATCCAAGACTAGAACTGGACTAACTTGGGTGCATGACAGTGATCAAGGGCAAAACTCATTTATGAACATTCCTGAAAATGCCACTGTAAATGTGACACATGAGAGCATAACACCAATATCCCACAAAAATATATGACAGAGTCCCTGAGAAAATGGCATATGTTGTATAAGGACTATGATGACAGATCAGAGAGGGACTATATAAGGCGTATGATGATAGATCAGATCTATTCACCTTTTCTCCCTGCTCTCCAGCCAAACCTTCAACTCCTGGGTCACCCTGAAGAAGAAACAACGAATAGTCAGCAAATGTGGTTGGGTAAAGATAAAAAAAAGGATACAGAGATTTAATTAAGGTATAAATCCCTTACCACGTCACCTTTTCCTCCAACTTTTCCTGGGAAACCCTGTAAAGACAAGATAGATACATGAGCAAATCTAGTGCAGGGGATTATAGCATCCATAGGCTGTATATGATAAAAGTGTCCATTATTACTATACATTATGAGATTTTTATAAGCAACATTCCTCAAAGTTTAAACTCATGTACTGTCTCACAAATGCAGTTTATAGGTGATGACAGAGGCTACAGCAGGTAACACGTGTGCTAGAACAAAGCTGTTCAACTCCAATGGTCGGGTCCAACAAATGTTTTTATTCCTGGTTTCCTATAAATTGCACATAAAATTAAAGGTGACAACTCCCATGTTATCAGAAACTCAGTCCAAAGAAACCATTTTCTCTTCAACCTGCTGAGAAATCTGTGAATGAACAATCTTTTCAGATGCAATGATACTTTTATTTGTACCATTATATTTGTTTGGGCACACTTTAGTGTACTGAGAAATAAAACAATATTTGTACTGGGGTCCCAGTACTATTGTTTATAATAGATGATAAATAAAGCAGATGCATTAAAGGGAATGTAAAGTCTTTTCAGTGTGTTTATACAGCTTCTATTCACTATAAAAGTCTGAGTCATATGACTCAATGCATTACTTATGTAGCTGTGAAAACAGAAGTAAAGTAATTGCATTCAGTCACTTAAGCTGGCCATAGATGGACTGAAATTCAATGGGTTCAGCAGGAGCTGGC